TATACAATTATGCCCTTTGCATTAAATGTAGGAACAGCCCAGCAATATATATTTAGGCATGAAGTGATTTGCCCTATTTAAAGCAGCCTGCGGCACATATTTTCTTTGGTAGTGACAAGCAAATGTCACCCAGAGAAAGAATTCTCTATAACCCTACACTAACAATGGACTCCACCTCCTCCTCAGTGGCTTGAGGAGGCTGAATCCAGAAACATGATTTATCTCCCTGATGGGACAGGGCTCTGGGCTGGGATTCCACATAGCTTATCACCAGGGGATTAGGGAATCCTTGCTGCTGTGCCATATCATCCTCCAAACAGAAGATGCCCAGAAAGATACTCACTTAGAAATGACAGACAAGCAAAGTTCTCACACCACTCTCAGAAGCAAAAACAAGAGAAGGAGCATTATTAACCCATTAGTTAAGAATGCCTAACAAGAAAAATTCTTGCAGTATACTTGAGACCACATGCAGAGCTAACTTAGCAGCCATTGACATATGCCATGCTTTTTTTAAGGAAAATGAGGTAATTGTAGTAAAATTTAGGAGCCAAATTTTTATAAGAGATGAAAAAGAAATCTGTTATATAAATTAATTCTTTGAATTAAAAAAATGGAAGAGAATGTTTTTTTGTATCTTAAGCAATGGCAAGTCAGGTAAGATTATTTCTCTAGGCCTCACTGCTGAAACAGTGCATTTGTAATTTTGGGCTGTGTGACCAAGGTGTTGCAAGTGTTATTTATACTGTATATCTAGCACGGTGCTGCAGTACATGCAATTTAGATATAGTAGTCTAATACACAAATGGGCTTTCAAAGACAACAATTCCATGTCATTAAAGATTGGGTAAGAACAGCTACTTCTCCTTTGCAAATTCTGTACAACAGCTCTTTTTATAAGTATTTATGAATTTAGGTTACTTTTCATTAGTTTTACTATCAAAGTTATAACAGATTAGAGTTCCTCAGAAAGATGCGAAGAGGCTCCAAAGGAAATATAGATGCTGTTAAAAAGAAGATAGGTAACTGCTGTAATGAAACTTTTCCTTTTTTTTTTCTGTGAAGGATTGAAGAGTGAAAAATAGTTCATGTCCATAAAGGTTACATTAATTGCGTGCAGTGTCTGAAAAGAGTGTTTGGAGGAGGTGAGGTGAAGACTGTACAATTTTTATCTGGCTTGTGCATTTGAGAAATATCATGTGATACGTCAGAAGTACAGAGTGGGGTTCAAAAATGGAAACTCCGAATTCGCTACTGCTTTGTAAAGCTCAGTAGCACAGACCTTGGAATATCTGCCAAAAAAATAAATAGGAGACAGGTCATGAAGACTTCATGTCCTAAAATAAATTCCTTACAGTAGTAATCACAGACCAAGAAAAAAAGTTTTCATCCTTATATTCCTGTTGCCAAAGTTTTAATTTGCAACTACATGAAGTTTTTCTACTTTATTCTGACCACAATTAAGTAAAAATGCACACTCAAATCTTACATGAAATCAAATTATTTTAAATTATGAGGACAAAAGCACTCCCAAATGAGATTTGCTGCCATTGCTCAAAATGCTGAATGTACCAGTGGTATGAACATGTCTTTACTTCAAGAAGGTTAAAATCTCAATAGCACTGACATATAGTTTAAAGGATTTAAAAAATCCTGTTATCTCCATTATACAGATGGGAAATTGAAGCATAGAAAAAATAAAAACTTGACCAAGGTCAAATAAGAAATCTCTTCAGATACAATTTTTCTCTCTAACATACCTCAGTATAAATTTATAGTCACCTAATAGAGAAATGTGGTAGTCATCTACATAACATGCTTCATTATAAGAATCTTTTTCTTATCATTATTTCTAAAATAAGTTCAAACTAACACCATCAATCTGCTCTGAACGCAATTTGGCTAGCCAGCTAAAAGCATTGTCTGTGACAACAGAATAGAATATACCAGTGCATATTGTTTGAAATACTTTATTTTCCAACTAGAAACTTTCTAAAGGCTCCCTTTAGAAGCTAAGATGGCTTTTCTATGTTTACCAACTTCCAATGTATTGTCAATTGATTTTCCCTTGGATGATAGGACTGGGGCAGTGATCATCAGTACTTGGCACAAGTGAGGCCACACGTCAAATCCTGTGTTCAGTTTTGGGCCCCTCACTACAAGAAAGACACTGAGGTGCTGGAGCAAGTCCCGAGAAGGGCAATGAAGCTGAGGAAGGGTCTGGAGCACAAGTCTTATGAGAAGCAGATGAGGGAGCTGGGGTTGTTTAGCCTGCAGAAAAGGAGGCTCGGGCGAACCTTATCACTCTCTACAACTACTTGAAAGGAGGTTGCAGCCAGGTGGGGATCGGTCTCCTCTCCCAGGTTACAAGTGACAGGACAAGAGGAAATGGCCTCAAGCTGCACCAGGGGAGGTTTACATTGGATATTAGAGAAAATTTCATCAAGGAAAGGGTTGTCAAGTGCTGGAACAGGCTGTCCAGAGAAGTGGCTGAATCACCATACCTGGCAGTATTTAAAAGACATGTAGATGTGGCACTCAGGCACGTGGTTTAGTAGTGGACTTGGCAGTGCTGGGTTAACAGTTGCATTTGATGATCTTAAAGGTCTTTTTCAATCTAAAGGATTCTATGATTCTATGTTTCTATATGCTTATGAAGGACACTCTAAAACTGTGCATGCACCAATTAAAGAGAGCAGAGTCCCTCATAAAGCTGTCCGGACTATTTTTGAAAGGATAAAAAGTTAAATTAAATCTTCCAGCCTCCGAAGCTGTCATCATAAGGGAAGGCTGTATGATTGATCTGGTGTCAGACATGGTTCACAGCATGTGAACATGATGGACATGGTTCCCTTTAATTACAGTGGATTAAAGCAGGAAGAGTTCTGTTGATGTCTAGACTTGTAGCAGGAGCAACTTAGCAAAGAGACATGGAGAATCCTTCCACTGCAGGAAGACAGTGACACACTTTAGTCATGACTTGACAAGAGGAAAATTGCAGTATTCATACATGATAAATCACATGCACCGAGCTGAGTGTACAGTTTGCAGTACTTTCCTGTAAGCAGTGTAAGCACCAGGACCACAGTGTGAAGCATCTGTTCACAGTCTTCCAAGCTGACTAATGATCTCAGCACTTGCAGTCTTCTGATGAATAAGGAATGCCAAATGACTGTTTCAGAGCTGGTTAGAGGGTCAGGAGAGGTGAATCATGTTGGCATTATCTAAGGTCAGAGAGCAGAAGTTGCTTCCAAGCATCTTTATGAAAACACTTTCTTCCAGCCCTAGACAGCAAGTGATTCTTACTGCTCATATAAAGAAACTACGAGCCAGATTTGGTTCAACAGTTTTTCTAGCCTTCATCACAGTCAGATTCACGCTTGCCTCCTGCCTCAGCAATGCCAATTGCTCTAGGTACACGCCCCAGTGGTTACATCCTTCTTCCATAGAGGCAGCTCTCACCAATCCTTATTCAACCAGAAAAATAACTGCATATGTGAGAATTAATTACGCAGCCTCCATTAATTATTTACCTGTTGTGATAGGAGCTACAATTAAAATAAAGAAGCTGGGTTTACTGCTCATTCCCTTATGTTCCTGTCCTAGATAGGGAGAAGTATTATTTTTAAATTGTCTCAGTGTTTTGCTCACATTGAATTTTTTTTTGGTAAAAAGTCAAATTCATTCTTCAAGAAGTGAGCTTTTCCAAGAATAAGTGTCTTCAAACTAATTTTCAACAAAGTCAAATGTAATAATTCCCAAGTCAGTAATGCTTAGACGTTATCCCTACATTTTGATCCCAAAAATCCAATCTGCCCTAATACGCATGCACTGTGAGGATACCACTGAAGAAACAGGTTGCATGTTACTCAGCCATTCTAAGGTACTAGGGCTAATATATTGATTTTAAAGCACTATAAAGGTGAAAAAGTATTCATAGCTGTTTCTTAGAACACGTACTTTGTATCATAATAAAATAAGTACTGAATGTCTAGTTTTGTTTCTTATAATATTAATATGCACCTGATAACATGAAAACTCTCTGCTTTGCATGAGTCCTGCCTTATCACTCATAGCATTTGCTTTGGAGAATTAGCATTCCATTATTTTAAAATACAAAAAGGTAATTAACCCTGGACACATTTACAATTTAATTTGTTTTAAATTCCCTCCATGACCAAACACGCAAAATACCAAGTACCATCTCTTCCGAGCAGCATTTACAGGCACGCAGAACATCCCTGACAGCACCTAGCATTTTGCGGAATAAGGCACTTGATTCAAAAAAAAAGAATTTTGAATGTCAGTGAAACACAGTCATCTCTCAGCTAAACATTTGCTGTTTCACAGAGCGTACCAAGTCTGTTTAACAGTTTGTGATAGAATAGACAGATATGCAATGCATATACCTCCAAAAGGATTTTAAGTCAGCAGGATACAATGGCCCAGACCAGAATGTGAGCAGAGTATCACCTCACCATATTCCCTGACATGGAAGTTAAATTATATCTTAAATTATCATACATGGCCAGATTTCAGTGTTGTGCTTCTTGCTGATGAAAATCTCTCTAAGATTCCAGAATGTTTTATGTCTCAGCTACATCCTACTCTGTGTTTCTCAGGCCCTCTCTCCACCAGGCTCACAGATGATAAAAGTATCTGTTGTTCTGCAGAATCCCTATAAAAACACTTAAGATAATTCCAAGGCCTGCCCAGAAGTAAGTCTATTTGCACTGAAAGCCTTTGAAACTTCTATAATCACTAGGTATTGCACAATACACCTTCACTGGCTCCACTGAAAATCAGTCTGGATTGTCTCAAAGGCTCAAAATGTAGGTGGAAAAGGAGAAAAATGTAGTAACGGTGCACTGGTATGTAGCTGCCCGCATCCTAAATTTCCTTTGTCAGACCAAAAATTTCTTGTTTCATTGTTGCCATTACGACAGGTGGTAAATTTCCTTTCAATGAAAGGAAACAAATTCCCTTGAAAAAATACATACCAAGTATATTAGCCGTACACTGGAGAATTCCTGAGACATCCTCAGTTTCTTCATTGCCAGAGCAGTCTGTATAGGAGCATCTATTTGATATATTGTGAAAATTCTTCTCTGCATCCCTGTAACTACAGAAAAAAAAATGGTAATAAAGTTATAGCATCTCCTTATACAAATGCAAACTCAACAAATGTATTTCAGAAGTGAAAGGGTTTAAACTTCTCAGTGATGGACACTTTTAAGATTCAGCTGGACAGAGGGCTGGGCTATCTTGTCTAGACCATGCTTTTACTAAGAAAGGTTGCACTAGATGATCCTTAAGGTCCCTTTCCAATCTGGTATTCTATTATTCCATGATTGAAAAAAATTGCCTATTCTCCTTCTTTAAGAAACATTACAGTTCATTAAGCAGTCACCTTCTGATGGGATTGTATAGAAGCAAGACTGAATAGATGTTTCTCATTAATGTCCCAAGTATGTATTGCTACTTCAAAGCACCTCTAAGACTTAGAGAGAAAAAAATAAAATTAAAAAGCTTATCATAAAAGGCTGTGACTTGGGAGGCACAGAACAAAACATTACCATGCACCTTTCACTATGTCACATTAACACTTACCCAATAACTTGATGCTCAAAATACTGCAGTGTCTTTTGAAGAGTTTGCCGAATAGTCTGAGGCTAGGGAAGAATAATTTAAAGTGTTGTGAGATTAGGGAAGTATAGCACAGTTCAACTAACAGATCTTTTAACACACTATTTTTCTCCAGTTTTACTCCTCTTCATCTTCTAACTGCCATACACCCAAAACAACAATGGATATGAAATATTATTATTCATTCCTTGTATGTTACTTCATTTAAACAGGAATGAATTTTACAATGTGACATAATTAATACTGCTTATGACTAGCTGCACATAACAAAGGAACCACTTCACTATCAGCTCTCAAAAACTATCACCCACCAATTATCTCACTAATTGAAAATAATTTGAAATAGTCTGCCAGAAAATGCTATTATTTTGTGATGAAAGTATCACCAGGAAAAGACATTGAGTTTTTAAACTCTATATGCTCCCTGGGGCATTTTGTAATAAAGAACATTAAAAGATGCAATTTATTATGGCTTACTTTCCTGACAAGCTATGACTCTTCAGTCATCTTTCAAATTATCAGGAAAGTCAAGTTCATCAAAAGAAAATCATGACATACTTCAAGCATTTCTATGCTATTTCATTTTAATAGATGTTCACCAAACTACATGTGCATTAATGTTTTTATTTGTATTATTAATACTACTACAGTGTTCACCAAAATACTTATGTGCATATATGTGTTTATTTTCTGAATTACTACTGTTGCTAAGGGTGTTATTATTTTGAATGAATTCATGAGAGACCTTTGGGAAAATAAAGCAAATGTGATATCCATGACATTCTCTTTTGAATTTTCCAAGTCACTTTTGGCAAAACATTCTTCTTCCAAAATGACTATTTTGTATGAAATCTGAGAGATTTATAAACCAAAATCATCTCTGAAAGTCTCAAATTTTGTGCACTGACCTACAGATTCAGCAGTTCAAGAGCTGAGCTTTCTACCTACTCTTACTCATGAGTTTGCAGAAGGAGGTATCTGTTCTGACAATAGCAGGAAGAAAACTGTGTACACCAGGCTATGCTAGGTTTGTACAACTGCAAAAACTTCTTTTCTAATACTAAACTACAAAAAATCATCTACCCTTCTAAATTCAAGTGTATGGAAATGCATGCACTTAACAAGTGCATAAGAGGGCTTGTAAGAAACATGGGGACAAACTTTTTGGCACGATCTGTTGCGATAGGACAAGGGGTAATGGTTGGAAACTAGAAGAGGGTAGATTTTAACTAGATATAAGAAAGAAGATTTTTATAATGAGGGTGGCGAAACACTGCAATAGGTTGCCCAGAGAGGTGGTAGGTGACCCATCCCTGGAAATATTCAAGGTCAAGTTGGATGGGGCTCTGAGCAACCTGATCTATCTGAAGATGTCCCTGCTCATTCCAGGGAGGCTGGACTAGATGACCTTTAAAGGTCCCTTCCAACCCAAGCTATTCTATGATTCTGTGAACAAAAACAAGCTCAAAATAGATGCAAACCTTGAAAGAGGTTTTTCTTGTTAACTCTGTTGCAGATAATTACTTTACTTCTCTGTGGGAGCTCAGTTACCTGTGCCAAAAGGCTTTAAAAGTTACATGTTCTCTTGTAAAACACAATGGAAGCACCACAGGAATGAAACTATCACACATCAAAAAATTATCGCCTTCTCAGGGGTACAGCAGGTGTTGAAGTCCTTAGGACTAATGGGCTACACATGTATTTCATGGCATGTTCTCACAGTGAATCAGAAGCTTTCTTGTACTCAGCAGGCAGAAAAATCCACTCCACACATAGAAAATATGTATTTTCCCACACCAGCAACAAAGCAAAGCAAAATCGCTTTAAGCAAAGAAGACCAGCGAGTTGCCTTCTCCCATCTCCATACAGCGTCTCCCTCAGCCCCACTCCCTACATACAAAACATTAGTACTCCTCTGACATGAAATAGGGAATAATAAAAATGTTTGACTGCTAAATTAAAGCTCCCTTCTGGTTCTCCCAAAGTGCTTTTACAGCAACATGGCAGGCAATATGGAAGGCAGCAATGTCTGGTATGACAGCAGAGAGGAAGGAAAACAGCTTTTTGTTTTCTCAGGAAGTTTTGCAGCTTACAGCACCTGAGAAATGGATTGTTTTTGCCTTTCTCATTTCTGATACACAGATGCTGCACCCCTTACCCAGGAAGAAATGGTTTTGAGTACCTCAGGATTTAACCGTACAAGCAATTTCCTAGTCCTGAGCTTATTTCATCAGTAAATCCCCCTTCTTCTGCAGTGTTGAATGGAAAAAAAAAACATAGCCCATGTTAACTTTCTCTTCTGAAAACTAAATCGACTGCCTAGCGGTTGTCTGAAAATTTCATACAATCCCATGAACTCATACCCCTTTTCACTGGCAACTCCTATCAAATCTTGGAAATTAAATACAGACAAAAACAGGATTTACTATTAAAACATGAGTCATAAACAGAGCTCTATGTAATGTGCTCAGAGCCAGTATGAAAACTGATCTGAGGAGTCAAAAATCTTTTTTTGTCTCTGACATGAATTATTATGGCATGTTGCTGTGCACAGTTAAAAAGCCACTATTCTCACCTTCTCAGTTTGCCATATTTCATTACTGGTGAATGTCATTTTGCTGTAGATGTAATTCTGTAACCAGAGCCATGACTAAACAAAACAGTGAGAAGAGATATGACACCTGCTTACAGCTGCTTACAAGGGCAGTTTGGTGTATTACTTCTTCCATTACTGACAGTGCATTGCCCATGAGAGAGAGAATGAGCAGGAAAATATTTCCACATTTTTTCTGTATCCAATAGCAAAACTGGATGGAGGCAAAATAGTTAAACCTTCTCCTGGAAGCATGACACACATCAGCTCTCCAAGAAGCACAGTTCTGTCACTCAGGGAAGTAAAAGACAGCTTTTAACCATACACCTCCTCCACTGCAATGTAAGTCTGTGCCATTCAGGTACCCAGTGACACTTATTTACTGGAGAGGTTTTAAAGCTTCATGGCCACTTAAAATGAAAGATTTAGTGTAAATGTAAACCAGTGACTGATACCTAAACAATTAAATGTCAACAATTCCTTTGATTAGAATGATTTACTAATATTTGGTATGCATTACAAAAGTAATAATCACATCAGTTTCATGTTTCTAAGGGCAAATCAAAGACAAATTACTGCTATTGTTAACTGTAAATTAATCCAAGGATTGTCATACCAGATCACATCCAAACTCCATATGGAACGACAATGCATAAGTTAGAAGGGAACACTGAAGATACTCAGACTGACCTCTTGCATGGCAGAGAACACAGAACTTCCCGAAACTAATTCTGAATTCAGACATCAGGCCATGGTTAACCCTAATGTGTCAGAATAAACTGTAAAACAAAACTGAATCAATGATTCATACAGGTTTGAAGAAACCTCTGTGGGTTTTCTAGTCCAATCTCCTGCTCAATGTATTTGAGTTACAGCTGGTTGCTCAGGTCATTCTCCAGACAAGTTTTGAGTGTCTCCAAGGACAGCAATCCCACAACCCCTCTGGGAAACCTGTGCCAGTGTCTGAACATCCTCATGACATTTCACATTTTTTTTCTTAATTCTGATTTTAATTAAGAAGCTGATCTTCCAGCTTTGCTGCCTCTCATCCTTCTTCCACTGTGCATCCGTGTGGAAACCCTGAACAGTCAACTGTAGATTGAAACCAGATACCCCCAAAGCTCTCTCTTCAGAAAAGCTGAATAGACGTAGCTTCCCTAGCCTCTCAGATGTCCCACACTCCATCCCTGACATCCTGGTAGTCTTCTGCTGGCCTCAGTAGCAATCCCTGAAGGGTATGCAGAGTTGATTGGTTACTAATTTGACTTTGTGACTCTAATGGCCACCTTTTGAGCCCTAAGGTCCAGTCAATATTCCATACACCTTATCATGCACTTAAGCAGTCTGTATCTCACCAGTTTGGCTCTAATGGCAGTACAGGAGAACATGTCAAAGACTTTCCAACAGTCAAGGTAGACAATATTCCTTCATCATTGAGCCAGTCATCTCATTACAGAATTCAATCAGGTTGGTCAGATACAATCCATCCTTGATAAAGAGTATAAATTTGGCTGTTCCCAATCACCATCTTATTGTCCTTTTTTGTGCAGAAAAGACTTCCAAAAGGACTTTCTCCATAACCTCCCCATGCATTGAGGCTGATTGGTCTGTAGTTCCCTGGATCTTCCTTGTCCTTCTTGATGTTGGGTGTGACACTTGCCCTTTTCTAGTCATCAAGTCCCTCCTGTGACTGGAGTGAGGGAGACTTGGAGTCTTTCCTATCTCCATCCCTGCAGGTTCAGGTAGAGCCTCAATATCCCTCGAGGGTATCCTGTGACTGCTTCCAACTTATGTTGATATCTTTTTCTGCATTTGAACAAATTAACTGTTCTGGTGCTTTGAGGAGAGTGTCAAGGGGCCCATGAAGCTCAACCAGCCTCTTGTACCTATTCCCCCTACAGGCTAGTTTCCCATTGGAGCCTGCCAAAAAGACCTATAAAGAAGCCAAAATCTGCTCTCCTGAAGTATGAGTCCACTTACTTGTCTTTCCCACCCCTCTCAGTGTTTTGAACTCCAGCATGTCATAATCACTTTTGCCAGTGATGCTTCAGCCTTTAGACCTTCAACCAGTTCTTCCTCGTTTGTGAGTAATAGCTCCAGCAGAGTATTCCTACCTTGTCAGCTCACTGATCATCTGCATTTAGAAACCATCTTCAGCACACTCCAAAAATCTCCTGCATTGCTTGTGTTCAGACCTATTGCTCTTCTAGTGGATTTGGAGTTGGCTCAAGTCCCCCATAAATAACAAGGCTTGCCATTTCAAAGCTTCATCTAGTTGTCTAAAGGCTTCCTCTGCTTTCACTTCTTGACCAGATAGTGTGCAGCAGATGTACCACCCCATCACTCCTGCTCATCTGTCTTCTGCTCCTGACTCTCATGCTCTGGGCCACCTTGGTCTGTTCAAAGGACTTGCCCACTCACTGCTGCCACCTC